ATTTTCTTTAAGAACACAATTAAAGTCATTATCTCGAACAAATCCATCTTGGCAAGAACACCTGTGATCGGAGCAATAGTTCGAGCAGTTAGAAAACACTTTAAAGCCGGAACAAGTTTCGTCACAGGATCCACAACCAGGTTGTTCGTTTAAACCACATTTCATTTCTCCATTGTGGACATCAGAACGAGTGTCAGCTAAAAATTTACAAAAAAATAATTGACATATTTTTGTTAAAGAAAAAACATATAATGGTAATATATTACTAATATGTTAACTTTACAAATTTCTAAGTGCAATTTCGAAAAACTGTTGCTAAAAATTATGTGCTCCTAGTAAATTAGATTACAAAGTTCAAATAGTATAAATTCAGGAGTTAAAAATTAGAAATTAATTGTTATAAATTTTATTGAAAGTACTTGGATATTATTAATTGTTCAATACTTTTAATTGGTGCCCTAACCAGACAAAATCTTTTTTATGGGCATCTTTAATTATTGACATTTATTTGCCCAAAATTCGACATTTTTGATGATACTATTAATACATTATTATTATTATTTTATTTATTTTATCAAATAGCAATTATATTATTATTTTTATTATTGTTGTTATATTATTTTATCATTTCACATACCAGTACACAAAACAATCAACGAACAAAAAATTGCAATATTAAAATTCATTTTTAATGCACCACATTTCTCACCATTTCACAAAATAGATGCAAAAATTCCAGAACGTGTGTTTTAAGCAAAAATTAAGTGAAAAATTTATGATATTATGTAATGGAATTATTTTTAAACCATGCATCACCAATTTGTGCATGTTGTAATGCAGATGAATTTGTTTGATAATTTGAAGACAAAATTATGAAAAAAAAAAAAATGATTTCTAAAATTTGCTAAGACGTTATGAATAAAAATGTCTCAAAATAATTTAGAACACAGAATAAACATTAAAAAAATCAAATAAATAATAAATTTTGGATTTTCTTCATAATGTCTATTTATCAATTTTTTTACTTAAACTATTAGGTATAAGAAAATTTAAAAAATAATTGTTAGAATTTTTAAAGACTATTTGGTTCTTAAAAACTATTAATGGTCTTCAACCAAGAAAATTTGAAAAATATAATTTTGCAATTAATCTATTTTAGAAAAATCAAATTTGTAAGTAAAATTTTTGATTTTCTCTCCATGTTATTTATGAAAAAATATTCTGTTTATATGGATTTTACACGTACAAATATTTTACTTAATAATATATTTCATTTTAAATAAATACTCAAAGACTGATATTTTGAAAATTTCGATCATTTGAACAAACTGTGATTTTTAACTTCATCATAATGTACCAGCAACTCTTTTATTAAACTAAAAAATTCTTAGTGTTTATAAAATATTCCGGAAAGTCAATAATCTCAAAATATCTATCCAAAAGCCTTTTAAATCAAAATTATTTATGTAAAATTTTGTTAAAACTCTTAACTAAATATTGACACGTTCGATGATGATGTCGTTTCCAGATTTCAAATAATTATTAAATATAAACAAATTCCATATGTCGGCCTTGAAAAAAATATCAATATAAGGTATGACAAATCATCGGATGTTGTCCACATTATCACGACAGAGAAATTAAATAGGAAAAAATTAATAAATCATAAAAAATTGCTATAATAGGTTTCATAGCTTCAAATAATATTTGTATGACCACCAGAGTAAATATTAATAAATATCAAATCCATTATTACAAACTAGCAAATTTAATTGCATAAACTTGATAAATTTATTATAAACAATATTAAAATGAATATGCTGATTAAAGTGGTTTTTGTTTTTCTAATTGGATGCTATTTTGCAAATGGTGAGTATTGAAGTATATATTCTTTTTTAATAATATACTATTTAACCACTTAACAATCAAGTTTTTTTGGTGAAAAGTGATCTAAAAGGTCAGTTTTTTTTTGTTCAGATTTTGAAAGTTTAACTGATGTATATATATATATATATATATATATATATATATATATTATCAGTTAAACTTTACTTTGAATTTTATATTATTAACTTTATATTAATAAAAAACAAAAAGCTTAAATACCTATAAAATTATCTATCTTGCTTTTCTTTAGTACCTTTCTACGATTCTTTAAATAAATTAAAAAACTGCATCAAATTTGACACGATAAAAACACCTAAAATTTTATCGTATAATAAAAATAAATTTACATTTTATTTCGAGGACTAGAATTTTTTATAAAATCAGTTTTTTTATGAATATAGACATCTGATATTAAAAAATTGTTCTTAAAAATCATGCAGTTTTTTTTTTTTAGTTCCAAGAACAATCACAGTAAACCAAATAAATTTTTACCAAGAAATGATTTGATCTAAACATTATCATTAATTATGTATATAATTTGTTTAGTAACAATTTTCTAAGAAATATTTTACAACTTGTTAAATTATTTAAAATGATAAATGCGATTGTATCAACAATTATACATACTAAATTAATTATACATGTAATTAAAATTATTGTTATATCTAAAAATTAAATTAAACTATTATTAGTTCCAAGAAGTAAACAATCATTAATCATAAAGTGAGAAATCATAAGTATATGTGCATGTAATATGCTATATGATGCTAATTTTTTGTTTTTTTTTTGTATTATTAACATTGTAAAAATGACAGAAAAATTGATGCTTTAGAATATATATTGTACATCAAATGGTTTTTAAATTTTTAAAATCGGTCGAGCAGTTTTCGAGGAAACGTCGACCGAATGTAAAAAATCAGTCTACATATATACCCTTTTGCCAAAATAGGTCTCAATCAATTCAGAATGACTTGAAACGTCGATATGAAATAAACTAGTAGGGTGCAAGGCATCGTGCCTTAAGGAAAATTGCTGGCACTTCCCGTACCGTCATTAAAAATCTTTATACGGAACCCAAAAAAAATACACAAAATGTGTACACATTATGAAAATCTCGATAAAATATCTGATATGATGTGCATATGTCTAATAAACATTTTTGATCGCCAAATGACATTTTTTTAACATTAACATATTTTTATTGAGAGTCCACAACCGCTGGACCTGCCTTCCCAAAAATTTAATCAGTTCTTCATCTTGTCAATGCAAGTAAAATGATTTTTGAATTATTAAATTCGGACGCTCCGTTTTCTTACCGTTTTTGGCACTTTTTGCCCCATATCTACGGAACGGCTAGACATGCCTTCGCCAAAAACTAATCAGCACGTCTCCTTATCAATGCGAATCGAATGTTGTTTAAATTATTCAAATCGGTTGATCGGTGTTCCCGAAATCGTCGATGAAAATTTGTATCCGCTCACACACACACACACATTCATTCATTTTATCTAAGGTATGCCAAAATGTTTAAAAATCTTTGAAACGTGAAGGTATATAAAAATTTTTATTTTCTATTTTTTTTTGCGATTACTATAGCTTGCATTTGTTAGATGAAGTTAACAAAGCAATTTTTTTCCCGAAGCTCCATTTAGAAGTTAGAAGTAATAAAACCAAATTACTATATGTTATTGCACAATTTTAGCGATGTTTTATTTCTTTTAGCTCAACTTGTTCGAGAATGTCACGATTTAAAAGAAAACGGAGGTACCTGTGATCATCCTGGTATGGAATTAGGAAAATGCAGAGCAATCTGTCCAGGACCAAATTCTGCATCATCGACTTGCTTTGGTGATTGCTGCAGATGCAAAGAAGGATATGAAATGGATTATTATACATGTCAATGCAATCGTATCTGTAAATAAAAAAATATACAATAAAGATAACCTGATATTTAAAATTAACTCTTTGGGGACGGCTGTCCACCTGATGGACAAACATACTCTGTGAGGCACAGGCTATTTTATAAACAATGACTCAGTTTGCATCAAAAAGTTGAATAAATTTCATATAGCTGTGATAAACAATGTTGTATTTTGAAAATAATTTTGAGGTATTTTAGTAGTATTTTTAGCCTTTTTCTTTGCTATATTGTCTTGTTTTAAATATTTAAAACGACCGAGCGCTTTTAAATATGGCAAAACGACTGGTAAATTTTGTGAATCAAGCAGTAGTCAAGATGAGTTTCAAATAGACATTCAAACAGACAAATTTTACGAAATTACTATTCGCACCGAAGATAGTGATGAATGTGATGATGATATTATCCAACCAACAAAAAGAAGAAGTTTGACAAATTAAATGAAGAGCGGAAAGACATTAGCAAGTGTGCCGATTCTCCTTCAATAATCGAGTTTGACATGCATCAACAAATGAATGATTAGACAATATAATAGAAAAAACAAACCATTATGGCAGCAAAAAAATGATCAATTATACTGACTAATCAGTGGCATATTGTAAATGCAAGAGAAAGAAAAAGGCATTGTATTGTCTGTTCTGACAGAAAAGCACCAGGTGGAAGTCGACGAACATCATTTTATTGTAAAACATGTCAAAATCAACCAGCTGTGCATTTTGAAAATTGTTTTGAACGTCACCATTCTTTATAAAATGATCAAAAAGAAATTAATATTATAAATGTAAGCCCTTCAATGACCACAAATTTTTATCAAACAAATTGCATAACATACACAATGAAATCAAGTTTACGGCCGATACAGTAGATTGTTTTGAAATCGGTGCCGTCCCGTAAGTTTTAAAATTAATAAAATCATCACATCTGATTTTACAGTATAAATAACCAACCTCAACTATAATTGACTAGTGCAAAAGAATTTTCTTTGGCAAATATTTCTTTGGAATTTGTTTTAATATTACAAAATACATAAGTATATGCATCACTCGATAAATTGCTGATGAATACAATCATGGCATTCTCGTTTGAGATAATTTATTAATATAAAATGCAAACAAACACAGATATCCATAGCTCAGTCATGATGTTTACTGTTTGTTTTGTTATATAAGATGCTAATTTGAAGTGACTTCAGTATTCAGAGAACTCCAAGGCAAGACGAATCTTTATCAAATTAATTATTAACAAGTAATTTGTTTAATTAACAGATATATTATCAATATGAAAGGTGCAACTTGTGTGTTTATTTTGAGTGTGCTGTTTTGTGTTTTTGAAGCATGTAAGTAGATATGATAGTTATTATCGTCTTGACTTATGACAAATGCGATAATGATTTTGCTTTATGATTTTTTTAATATTAAAATATTTATAAAATATATACAAAAATTGTAATTAATGTATTAAAAAGTACAGAATAGTGAATAATTGTCTTCTACCAGCAATCTTGTAACTATAAAAGGTTCAAAATAAAATCGATACTTGATCTATGTCCATTATTGATTTATGATGAGGTTTAATTTTAAATTTTAATTTTATTAATAAATACAAAATATTTTAGTTTTGTATTACAATCAATAGATTATTGTTTTAATTTTTAAATTCATAGAAAATAAACTACAAATTTATTTTACCAACATGTCATATTGAGAAATTCCCAAATTTTTGCCAAATGTCCTAAACTAGACAGTTAAAATTTTTGTGAAATTTGAAAAACTTTTGATTTTTGATAATTTTAAAGTTTTTGAAAAAAAATTACATTTTGATAATTCCTATCAAATTTAGATTTTAATAATTAATTATAAAATATTTATTAATTGGATGAGCGTACATCCAATGGTAATTTTTGACCGCCAACTGGCATTATTTTTTTACTTTTTACTGGATCTCCAAAGTCGATAGACCTGCCTTCCCAAAAATTTATACAGCTCTTCATCTTGTCAATACAAGTAAAATGTGTTTTGTATTATTAAAGTCGCACTTTTTGCCCGAATCTTCGGAACGGCTAAACCTGCCTTTGCCAAAAACTAATCCTCATTAATAGGAATCGAATGCTTTTTTAAAATATTCAAATTGATTGATCTGTGCTCTCAAAATCGTCGATGTAAAATTTGTATCCGCACACACACATACATACATGCATACAAACACATACACACATACAAACACACACACATACATTTATTTTTACTAAGATATCTCAAAGTGTTCAGAAACCTTCGAAACGTAAGAGTATATAAATATTTACATTTTCCATTTTTTGCAATTTCTATAACATTACCCATAGGAAGTTCAAAAGTTCGAAACTTTCAAAAAATTTTAATATATAAAAAAATTAATTTTTTTCAAAATAGTCAATTTTTTTTTCAAAGATCATAAAAGTCTCAAAAATTTAATTTCTTCAAATTTTTTGAAATATGTTAAAGCTTTCTTAAGAACTTATAATTTGTGGTACAGGAAGTTTTCGAATTGTCCTTAAGGCATAATTTCATAATTCTCAAAAATGTATTTTTTTTCAAACTTCTTAAAAAAAATTGAAGCTTTTAAAAAAAAATAAGTTTCACCAATTTGCCTTAAGGCACAATGTCATGCACAAATAGTTCTACAATCGATTAATATATCATTTCTCTTTTAGCTTACGGTTTGGTTGAAAGAGAATGCGACAAATTAGAGGAGCACGGGGGACATTGTAACCATCCCAATATGGAGCTAAAAACTTGCCCTCAGGTGTGCCCTGAGCCCTTTGTTTACTCTTCATTTGCCCATTGTATGGGAGATTGCTGCCAGTGCAAGGATGGATTTAATATGGATTTTTCTACTTGTGAATGCAAACCATATACAGACGCCATAGAACAATAGATATAAATGAAACTTTCATTTTGTAATAATAATTATAAATATATAAAAAATAACGCAATTTGTTTTGCATGTATATTGGTTGAACAATAATTTTATGCGCTCGATTAAACCGTCATAACATTGGGTCAAAAAATTGGGTCATAATCATAAGTTGGATGTTTTTTAAAAGACTCAAAAAGCTAAACGTTTTATAAATTTTGTTACCATTTTTTTTGTTTCTTTCTTTAATAAATAACAATCTGACTTTACACAATAAAAAAAACATTCAATAATTCTGAAGATATATGAATATTTACCATCTATTCTAAAAGGATATTCATTAGTGAGCCTTTTTAACAATTTTTAATCAAAGACTATTTACATATATTAATTTAAATATTAAGCTTATTACAGGTCAAAATTGGTTGCACATTGACTTTGTTGTTATACAGATTTTTTTTTGCAAAACATAATCATGAATTGATAAAAATCTAGTATCAATTAATCAAATATAATACGTAATATTTCTTAACACTTCCAAGAATTATCCTTAAGTATGCAAAATGACCTCGTCATTATATAATATTTATTTATTATATGAGATGTTATAATGATTTGATTTTAGTTTCGTCTGTATTGGCTTGCCAACCACATCTATTGATAAATTACACATAGACAATTATAAATTTAAAAATATTTGGCTATAATAATCAACATGAAAACTACTACTTTTATTATTGCATTGTGCTTGGTAATTAGTGCTTTTACACATTGTGAGTAACTATAATTTAAAAATGTTTTATCTTCAAAAATGCTCGTTTTTTGTGTAAATACAAAAATCAGTTAAATTGACAAACGTTTTTATATACTTCCAAAATAAAATTTATATGAAAAAGCATTCATTTGAAATTAATGTCAAATAAAGTTTTAATGAATAAAAAAAAATCGTTTAAAATTGAAAAAAAAATAAGGAATTGTCAAAAGCCAGAGTAAAGACTAATGAACAAAATAATGCTAAAAACATAATAAATTTAGATCAGTATTTTGTGGTCAATTTTAAACTATAAAATTTATGATAAGTTTTTTATAGGAACACGTCACTCATTCAATATTTTTTTTAAAGAAATATTGTAAATATGATAAGTTTTATCAATATAACAACGAAATTATTATAAATACATCCTAAGTACATTTCCTAAATGTAAATACTAAACAAAACAATCTGGTTCAAAATAGTTTGCCTCTTTGTCATCGATATTGTATATCAGAAATAGGGTTAAAGTAATTTCAAGTCCACTAATCAACTAGCTTTTTATGGTGAGCCCTACCATAGAGAACACTGATTTAAATTAACTTTATAAATAATGCGGTTAACAAAATTTAAAAAAATTGTATGCAATATTTCATTAGATTTACCTAATATTTGCATGAGTTCTATTATTTTAAGGTTACAATTGATATAGGCAATGTGAAAAAATTAAGACAATCCGCTTAAAACAATTATTGAAATCAATAAAACGGAAACTAAATTAATTTTTACTTCGTTTTGATGTGGAATATAGTATTTGCATATTCGTGCATAAATAATAAATTATTTATTACCTTCTTAGGCGATGGTTTGGTGGTCAGAGAATGTCACGACTTAGAAGAAAACGGTCGTCATTGCAACCATCCTAATATGGTTCTTGGAAAATGTCTCAAAGTTTGTCCTGGACCACATTCAGCTTCCTCAGATTGTCTTGGAGATTGTTGCAGATGCCAACAAGGATTTACTATGGATTATGCTACTTGCCAATGCAATCCTTATACTGACCCTGTAGGACAATAAAATAAAATAATAAGATCGAAGAATATTATAAATCTATTCTTTTTAGGTCACTATTCATAATATTTTTAAAAGTTGTAACTTCAAATATATAAATTAAATAATAGCAATGCAACTTGGTACCTAATTTCTTATTACTGCAATTTCCAGGACACCAAGTTGATAATAATTTACCAACTCGAATATTTTTAATGCTAATTATAAATAATTTACTGATTATTTTAGCTTTATATAAACAAAACGTGATCTAGTTGTTTAGATTTCTAATTTCCTACGTAGATGCAAATTCTTCCATCTGTTTTACGTTTATATTAACTTAAACGCAACTCAAGTTTAGTTTAGCTACAGATTTCAAATATATAACATCAGTTTCATAAATTATAACTAATTATAAGTGTAGAAATAAAATTGAATTAAACGTTATTGAATTTATAAGTTAAAATGAAAAGTGGAAGCTACTATTTAGCTTTGTGCATTCTGATTGGCATCTTTATTAATTGTAAGTACAAATGTATATATTAGGGTGGTCCTTAATATAAACATTTTCGAATTTCCTTGCTCCCAAGGGCTCAACTGGTTCCAAATTGATAAGAAACAATTCTATGAAAGTTTTAGCTCTTAATATTGTCTTTCAATTCAAATTCAAATTCAATCAAAGTTTTGTATGGAAATTGCATGAAAAAATGTGAAAAAATTTTGCAGAGCATCGAATTTTCAATAAAAAATGACACAAATTGTTACTTTTAATTCATTGGTCGCTAAGTTATACCTAAAAAATTTTTTTTTTTAATTTTCAAAATTTTTTCCATGCCATTTCCATACGAAGTTTGAATGAATTGCGCACTATCTAAAAGTTAATATCAAGAGCTAAAACTTTCAAAGAATTGTTTTTTATAAAATTGGAACCATTTGAGCCCTTGGGAGCAAAAAAATTGGAAAATGTCCATATTAAAGACCATTCTAGTTTATATATATTATAGCCATTTTATATTAAGCAATTTTAGTTCATTCTCGTTCTTTAATATTTCTGATATTAACTTATATCAAATCACAACATATATTTTTTTGCTGTATTTTCAATCTCTATTACAAAATAAATTTATTAATACATAGGAAAAAAATCAAATTCTTAAATATTATATATATGAATGAAACGGAATTGGTATTTATATGAGGTTATCAGATCGTAGTGTTATTTGTGAACATTTCACTCAAATATATGAGTCCAAATGAGGGTCTAAAAATCCTTAAAAATTGATCACGTGATTAAGGTCTGCCCCCCAAGCATATTATTTGCACACAAAAATTATTTTTTCATAAGAATTTGTGTTCAGTTTTGAAATACAATTATATAATAATTTATTTTGATCTTTACCCAGGTTATGGTACATTAGTAAGAGAATGCCACAAATTGGAAGAAAATGCCGGACACTGCAATCACCCAAACATGATGTTAGGAATTTGCCTTCAACCTTGCAAAGGGCCTCATGCACCTTTTTCCGATTGCATAGGAGATTGTTGCAGGTGCAAAACAGGATTCAAAATGGATTATGCTACTTGCCAATGCAATCCTGAAAATAATGAATGAAAAATATATATGAAAATTGAACAGTAGAAGAACATCAGTTAGAGGCAAATTCTTCGATAAATGAGAATCCAAGAAAACTCATGATAAAATTGTTATTTTGACGTTTTTGCGTTTTGTAGGTTGGGTATTATGTGTAAATCACACAACAAATACATTTTGACAGTTATTACTACCAATTTATATGAAGATAGCACCGTAACATTTGCATTTTTCGAAGAATTGGCCTTACCTAAAAACAATTTATACAAAAATTATGTAAAATTTAGTATTTACCTAAGAACAGTTTATAAAACAAATTATTTGAAGAAGCATGGTTGTAACATTTTATGTATCAATGTATTTTTATTCATCATACCCAATTATTGTTTTGGCATCCGATTTAGACATTCATACAAAGGACTGTCAAAAAATTTGCTGATTTTTTATTATGTAAAAGGTGCAAATGTATATGATACAAAAAGAAAGAAAAAGTATTACTTAAATTACTTAAATTAATTATTGCCGAAATTTGAATATGAACTTTAGAGGTTTATCTGAGTATAATCATTTTTTTATATATGATTCCTCAATGTCTTGTATTTGCTATAATATTCATTTATATGAAAGTATGTTATCATATTATGTAATAAATATTTACCACTTTCTAGAAAGGTATGTATTCCTCAAGGTACAGAGTCCAAATGACAAATGTAATATGAAAGAAATCATTTTTATACTAAAATTCGAATTACGTCACAATTTGTCAGGTCCTAACTAGTAATTGATGAAATCAAGTTATTGTATTAGATAATACTAATTTTAGGCTTAATATTGTTTCAGAGTTATATTTTACTGTAATTATCTAAATCCAATTAAGATAAATTATTTTTTGTAATTACTGAATTTAATATTGTATCCGTAATATAAATATAAATATAAAAATAAGTACAAATATAAATATAATATGAGGCCCGAAAACGTAACTGGGATCAATAATCAAGGTCTAATAATGTGTAATATAATCACCTCAACATGAAATTAAAATCTGTATTAAAATCACTTAGAAAAAAAGAAAATAATTGATAATCGCATTTTTGTAATTTATATCCCAACTTTTGAATATCTGAATCGTTAAGTTATTAATTCAAAATCACTTTTTATACTAAAATATTTCATAAACCAATATGTATAACATTTTTCATTTGTTTAAAAAAATAAAACAAACCTATTAAAAACCTAGTGCATAGTGTAAATGTACGCTTTTCTATTACAAGTTACATAAATACTTCATAAACAAATTAGTTAAAATTTCTCATTTGTTTAAAAACATATCAGGAATTTGGTTATTAAGACTTCTTACGTAAATTTTTATCTGATTTCTTGCACTCAGATAGGTATATTAAAGCACGAAAAAATATTGCAATTTGCACATTCAGTAATCTGCAGACTGCATACAGATCATACAAAAATATTAATCGGAAAGAAAATTTGGCCTAATTGTGGAAAAATGAAGATTATTTTGGCTTTAGTCGTATTGTGCATAGTGGCGAATAGTTGGGCAAATGGTAAGTGGAATCAAATAAAATTGTAGGTATTATACTAAAAATATTTATCTGTATAAAATATATTTTAAACTATACTTCATACTTCAAATATACATATATGATTAATTTGAGCAAGAGATTTGTCTAAATTTCTTGTGAAATCTGCATTTTTAAAGGTGCCTTATATCATAGTTGATTGAAAAGATGAATTATTCGAGATTTTTTCAGTTTTTTGTTATATAAAATATTGTTTCTACTCAATATAAACATTTCTTAAACCGCGCGACATTTTTAAATGGTTGGTTTAATTTTTTATTTTAATTACTAGATGACCCGACAGACGTTGTCCTGTACCCATGTCTACAATTTTTTAATATTATATACTAACATTTATTGTTTACCTAAAAATAATAATTATTGTTTTTTGAATTACTCTTCACGCCAAAATGCATATTCATTTATAATAAGAGTTATGTTAAATGCAAAACTGCTTTAAATAAAATGATGAGTCTCAATTCCCACACTATATTGAAAATTGAAGTCTTTAAAAATATAACCATAACCATAACATAACACTGGTACTTCATGTTGGATTAAATTAATTTAATTTTTTATTATTTAAGATATCCAAAATTGCATCTTAAACTTCTCCTAATCGACATCGCGAGGGCCGAATTGTATGTATTCATCTTCACTTTTCCATTTGTTGTAATAAAGTGAAATTTTTACGAATTTTAAAAATATTGTGGAAGGATTAGTAAAAGATGCAAAGAAATTCTATATTGAAAAAAAAAACTATATTGAAAATTTAATTTCCGAATCTTGTGTTGGCGCCCCCTAAGTCATGCGCTCGTATTTTTCGCAAGCATTAAAGGTAGGACCGGCTATTTAATACTTAATTTCATATTTTAAGTAAATTAATTTGTCATATCCTGTTCATATGTATATCATTCAATATGCCATACATATACTGTATTTTGTATTATTTTAATTTCTGGCACATCTCAGCTGCTTTTTGGCAATAATAATGTAGACATTTAATTTTTCTTATTCATAATCATAAATTTATCATACATATTCTAATATTGTCTAGGTTCATAAGTTTATTTAGAAAAATTTAGAAAACGTTTATATGTGGAAAAAAAGTGCTGTTTTTAGGGTTTTGCCGGCAATTATTCGATTTTTTAAGCCGTAAGAAACATCCTTGGACTTCAACGAACATTTTAAAAAAAGAATTGGCCAAATTGGTCCAGACGTTGAATTACGCGCTCATCAACACATTTTGCGATTCATTTTTATATATAAGATTTACAAATGACCACATATGGTCATATGGTCTTATGTTTGTTTAGTTGACAGTTGATATTGACCAATCACATCAACTCATTTGAAATGAATGGCAACTTGCAATAGCAAGTTTTAAGAACTCCAAAATATTTGGTTTCGATGGTATTCCATCTTTTTTTATACGTGATTGCTCATCTACTCTATCTGATCCACTTGCATTTTTATTTAATCTATCTTTGCGTACAAACACTTTTCCAAATTGTTGGAAAATTGCACGATTAATTCCAACTTTTAAACAAGGTGTTACATCAAACATTACTAATTACAGGCCGATATCATTATTATCAAACTTTGCTAAGGTATTTGAAAAAATTATTTATAGAGAACTAATTCCTACTGTTAGAACTTTAATTTCTATTAATCAACATGGTTTCATGCCTGCCCGTTCTACGATAACAAATTTAATTTGTATTAAACAATATATAGCTGAGAATCTTGACATCAATGGACAAGTTGACGTTATTTACACTGATTTCAGTAAAGCTTTTGACAAAATTGATCATAGCATTCTTCTTACTAAATTATCTAAGATTGGTCTTAATTCTTCACTTATTCACTTTTTCAAGAGTTATCTTCATAATCGCAAGCAGTTTGTCTTTCTTAATGGATTTTTGAGCAACATTGAAAATATTAGTTCAGGAGTTTCTTAGGGATCCATTCTTGGTCCACTATTATTTATTATTTTTATCAATGACATTTCTGATACTATTAACTGTCCACATTTATTATTTGCAGATGATCTGAAACTATATCTCAAAATAAATTCTATTGATGACTGCTTATTATTACAGTCTCAACTTGACCTTTTCCAATCTTAGTGTATCTATAACAAATTACATCTAAATATATCAAAGTGCAAGATTCTTAGTTTTACACATAAGCGCGTTCCAATACTTTTTGATTATAAAATTTCTAACACCAGCATTGATAGATGTAATAAAATTTCCGATTTAGGTGTTCTATTTGATTCTGGTTTGTTTTTCACAGATCATGTTACTGATATTTGTAATAGAGCACATCAATCTTTAGGTTTGATACTAAGAAATTGTAAACAATTTAAGTCTACCAACGCACTTCTTTGCATGTACTATTCTATTGTACGTTCAAAATTAGTATACGGTTCGATTATTTGGTATCCTCATCATATCAACAACTCTGATGCGATAGAGAAGGTTCAGCGAAAATTTCTGAAATACCTTTATTATAAAACATATAAAATTTACCCTGAACGTGGCTTTGACCACAACACTTCACTAAAAGAATTTGGTATTCCTTCCCTTGCCTCACGTCGATTTATCTGTACAATTATGTTCTTATTTAAGCTTAGCAATAATTCTATTGACTGTCCTCTTATTCTCAATCAACTATCCTTTGATGTTCCAAGGCTATCTTCGCGTTCACAATTATTTTTCAATTATCCTACCCCTAAATCTAATTCTCTCTTAAATTCGCCAATTTTACTAATGTCCTCTAACTTTAACTTAATTAATAATGAAATAAACATTCACAACACTTCACCTAATCAAATAATCTCAATCTGCACAAGTTAATCTTTTTATTTTCTTTCAAATATCTCTTTATTTTCTGTTTATAAATATTATTGTTACATTCTGCATTATATGAAATTTTATCTTAGCATTTTATGTTACTAACTATATATTGTAATTTTGTATATATTTTAATTGTTATTCATATGTCAAATAATTGTATTTTTGAGTCCTCTTGGAGAAATCTGTGGGCTATATATTTAAATAAATAAATAAATATGTGTAGCAATTACAGTTTTTCACTTTAGAAAATTAAATATAATTTTTCTTTTACTTAGTTTATTTGCAAAATAACATTATTGTTTTATTTTGTTATTAGCAAAAGATTGCCAAAAATTGTCAGAACAAGGCGGCCATTGCAACCATCCTCACATGGACAAATACTGGTGCTCAACCCATTGTTTCGGAAAAGATTTACTCATCCCTCTAAGTTATTGTGGGGAAGAATGTTGTGTTTGTGAAATTGACTATACAATGAATAAAGATACTTGCAAATGTGAAAAAGCTTAAACATACCCAAAAAAATTAAAATTGAGTATAAAAATTATTATTGATTGATATGTTTCTCATGAGCACTTCTATGAAAAGTAAATTGTAAT